CTAGTAAACATTTGCTGTGGAAGTGTGTGTGACAGCTAATAATAGCTTAGATTAAAAGGGCAGTCCCGGAGAAAGAGGGACAGGGGAAGATTCAAGGTATCTTTAGGAGATACAATCAACATTACCTGAGGCTGAGTTGAAAATGGAGACACAAAAAGCAAAAGGGAATTTCTGACAGGGAGAACATTACAAAAGGATCTGGTTTGGGGGCAAGACCATGGGTGCAGTTTCGGCGCTGAATTTTTAATGCCTCGAAGTCTTTCGAGAGGAGATGTCAAATAGACACGTGAGTATCTCTTCGTCCCCTGTATTTCTAAAGAGATGAGTTCATGATAATTGTACTATAGACCCACTGAGATCTGAATAATTTGGGGGTTACTTCAGGGATGTTCCTAAAAATATATTTTTTAGAAATACATAGACAAGGAATTTATTCATTCTTATTTATTTTCTTTGACAAATAAAATTTATATATACTTATTATGTACAACATGATGTTTTCAAATACATATGCACGTGGAGTGGCTAAATCGGGGTAATTACCATTATACACATTAATCTCACTTATCATTTGTATGGTGAGAACATTTATTATAAAATCTGCTCTGAAGAGTTTTCAAGAATACGAAACATTGGTACTAACTATAGTCACCATGTTGTACAATACATCTCTTGATCTTATTCCTATTAATTTATTTAGCTAATTATTTTATAGAACTACTTCTTCTATGTACTATGCTGTGGATTAGGCACTTGGGTGTTACACTCAGTGGCACATCGTCCCTACTCTAAACATCTTTCCAACAGACATTTTTGGAATGCATTCAGGGTGGTGGGCATCAATGTCAGCGTTAAGTTATAGCAGCAAACAAAAGCAGCAACTTACCTGCACCAGTATAGCTTACATATATCAGAGTTGATAATATCTCAACCAACAACAACATGATGTAACCACAGTGACCATGAATACAGATGAAGAATTCAGGTGTCAAATACTATAAGAAAACAATAAGCTGAATTGTTTGATCAGTCAAGGGAGAGATGGCTGTGTAAGACACAATTTATAAACAAAGACGAGAAATTATATGATAGAGGGTTTGGGGGAATTGCAGAGTTTAGAAACTTGAGGTATGGAATTGTGTTTGCCAGATGCTGACTGGTAATTCTCAGAAAACTGTTCACTGGACTGACGCTATTGCTGATTATCAGATTTTCAGAAATTATCTTAAGAGGATTATTACTAATTGTCTTTCAGAAGTATGTGCACTTAGTAACCAATGATTGATTGATTAAGCAACTTTAATACTGTTTTGATTGTTTCTCACTTGGTTGTGACTATAATAAGTGAGCAAGCAACGGGTTATTTCCGAGGAGAGTGAGAACTTTATATTCCTCAGCCTATGAAGAAGAGTAACTCGAGACAAAGAAAGAGGCAGAAATAGAGCTGCTGTTCTATTTGAGCATAGAACTGAGTAAAGGAAGCAAGACGAGAGTATTTGGCCCGAGAGAGTTCCAGGAAATGGAAAGGCTGATTCAAAGACTCTGGGTCAAGAGCATACTGGGCAAGTTTGAGAAGCACAAGAAGTCTGTGTGACTGAAGCACAGTAAACAGTGAAGTCGGAAATTGCACCAGGGGCTAGATCATGTCCAGTCTTGCAAGGCAAGATAAAGAAGAGGAATTAACACACCACAGGATTTGATTGGATAGGAGATGTTAGGGACATGAAGAACTCAAGGATAAAGCCCCGGTTTCTGTCCAGCCCCAGTTTCTATTGTGAGATACTGAAGACATAGCTATGCCACTCACCAAAACAGGTGTAATTCAGGGTTACAGGTGCCACAACAAAAAGAATGTACCACAAAGGCACAAAAGAGAAAGCACTCAATACCAGTGACAGTGGGAGGTTAGAATTCCTAGACATTAGGTACACACCACAAATGAGTTAGATAGACATCCTCCAGCCTAGGTGGGCTCAAAGCCTGAACGTGTATATCTGAGAGAACATTTGAAGGCAAGAGCACAGAACAAAAGCATAGAGATGAGAAACAGCACCAAGAAGAAGAGGCCCCAGGGGATCATCACGTACATAACTTACTCTTGTGCAAGGCGGCCACATCTTCCCATTCACCTGTGCCCCAGGTAACTTCCAAATAATGGTGTTGATCGTGACACACAAAAATATTTTCTTCTCCTGGATTTATACTTTGTACTTGGCCAGAGCATGTTCTGCAGATTTTAGAAATTATTGATAATCTAGACTGAAACTCAGAAACTGTGTGTGAGTGAACCAACATGTATTGAGCAGGAGGAAAAACTGAATATTTTTCCCAGCCCATAATATCGTAAAAAAGGGAAACTAAAAACTCAAACGATAAATTACTCAGATCTTCCTAAAAAGATAAACTTTAATAGATGATTTA